CAAAAAGTAAAAAAGAATATTAACCGTAATTTATCATTATACTTATTAGAGGGGGATACCAATGGCCGAAGGCCACGTGTGTAGGGGCATAATCTCCAGAAAATTTTTCAAATTTGAAACCTGGAAATGCTCTTTCCTGCATTCTGAGCAACCAAAAAATAAAAAAATTATTAGCAATAATTTATCATTACTTAGTGGTAAAAAAACGTAACAATTTAGATCGATTTTGTTAAACAAGGCAAAGGATAAAGCCTAAAACTTACTTTCCGTTTATTTATTTGTTATTCTTCGCTGTGGGGGGGGGGGACTGGGGGGCAAATGCCCCCCAGCTTGTATGTTAAAAAAGGCCCTGATATAGATAGTACAAAACCAGACGACTGGTATCCAGGTCCGACACGGGCTTTGTGGGCCACTGGGCCAATTGCTCTGAAAAAGCCTGTCCATATATCGATTCGCCAAAACCGGTCCACATTATTGAAACATGCTAATATAAATTTATATATTTGAACATGCTTACATGCTTAGTTGCTTACTTGAGATAAGTCTTCTCATTTTATTTATTAGGCGCTATTTATTTTTTTGAGGAAGAGAAAATTAATATTAGAAAATTCCAATTATCCTACTCTTAGACCTAGGTGTTTATTTTTATCTTAGATTTCGCAAAATATCCCGATTGTATGTTATCTAAAACAAGTAATCATTTATCGGGTACTTTTCAACAGCAAATCTTTGATTATCACCAGTTCATAATCTGACGTTGTTTACCGACTGTCAGATGTTGTGTAACTTGTGTTATACTGCATAAATATAGTAGCTAAGCGACCATGTCGTCCTTCAGTACTAAGCTGAAACGACTTTTTCCGGTCAACACGCAGTTAAATTAAATACAAGACTATAGAATTTACTGTTTATTTCAAGATCAGAAAGCACCGAGTTAGGACTTTCGTACAAAACGGTAAGTCAAAATTATTGTTCATACTTGAACATTTAAAGTTAATAAAGGATACGTAATGTCAGAATAACGTTTCTAGCCTTTCAAATTTAACCTTTCAAACCTTACCTACACTTAGCTTTTTTATTTAATATGTTCACGAACAAAACTAATTTGTTTTAAAACGGCCATATATAGATAACATCGGTTCTATACTACATCAATCTCAATAATCTAGTGTCAAAATTTATCTCTTAGATTGTGATTAAATACCCATTAGGCTCATAACTAGCTGTGTAAAACTCTGGAACATACCAATTGTATTTTTGGAGGACAACCTGAACATAAGCAGTTCAATCACAATAGTATCTAATCTTGCGAATGTACCGCAATCTCGATTTCTGAAGTGTAGAACTCTAGATCAGTAAATTCACTTGGCTATACACAAGCTTGCCGTTTTGCAACTACATCATGTTTGTAGGATGAGTGCAATTTATTTTTTTTAGAATGTTCACTATGCATTTCTCAACGCTCCTTGTCTACATCGTGTGGATTTCACTGGGTCACCTGTGGCTGATTACTGAGTCAAAGGCAAGTTATTCTATGTCTCACTTTAGCCCAACCTAAACACAATATTGGTATATTCACTGTCACAAATTAGTCTAGTTGAAAGATGGTATGCATGTTATAAAACATAGGCAATGGTTACCTGAAATACCGCACACGCACCATGCAATTATGTTACAGTTAAATACGTAATGCAGGATATACTTTTCTAGAAAGTCAGTCTTCGGGGCTATGATCCTGGAAAATGTAATAAAGGAAATCATGGCAAGTTAGTCATGGTCAAAAATCGTGAGGACAATGACAAACTGTTGGTTTGTGCTGAAGAAAATAAAGTTTATCTCTGGAAAGCAACTGATGGTAAGGCTTCATATTGCATTCTTATTACAAGCTGACAAAATCCACAAACTAATCATGATTTTGCATACGATTCTTTACAAGGTTCCAATTCAACAGGCGAGTTTTTCAATCCTGCATACGACTGTTCAGATGCTCTCAACAAAATTTCTCAAGCGAAAGATGGGTTTTATTGGATCAAATTATCTGGAAATATTCCAAACAAGGTACTTCTATATATCAGCCATGATTGCTGCAATTTATGATCATCGTGAAGGTTACGACTTTGCTCTACAACATTTGTTGTTCTAGGCGTATTGTGACATGAGCACTGACGGAGGAGGGTGGGTGCTAATTGGTCGTAAAACAAACGCCGTCACGTGGACAGTGCCATCCAATAACAAGACAGTTGAGCCATTTGGCAAACCTCATTGGTCCAGCTCACTTGGTGATGCTCCAATCATCGACTTCCGGGTTCAAGTAGCAATAAAGAAGATTTCAGCACAACAAGAGCTCATTGGTAGGTGCATGATAATAACGAGAAAATTAAGTTTTGTCAACGAAAGATTGCATGTTTAGATTATTTAAACGTATTCTTTTGTAAAGTACTTCCTCCAAAACTCCTTCGGTTCGAAGACTTAGCTTTGCGAAAGTCTAAAGGTTGTGTTGTGTGCAGGAATATTCTGTTTACATGGAATCATCACTGTTTAGTGTTGCTTAATACATGTACGAAGGCCAGATTTGCAGTAAGACTTCAACTTTTTTATACATCATGAAATTATCATTCAAACACTCATTAATAATTCATAAGCTTATTGGTAAATCAGTGTTAACCATAACAAATCACGTGCAGTGACTTTAAACCTGATAAAACACTCCTAATTATAGTATTCTTTATATAGAGAATACTAATAAGGCAGTATCTAACAAACAATATTATTAATAAGGCAGTATATCTAAAATAGAATTTGTAGTCGTGTTTGAAGCCGTTTAATAAACTCGCAGGTCGTGTTTTATTAGGTCTTCAAAAACTCATTAATAATTCATGAAGCAATTATCCAATCTTGAGTTAGAAATTAGTCACGTGCATACGTCTTTATACCAGCTAAAGAACACTTTAACAAAAGACCATTGTTATGCAAACTATATAAAGATTTTTATATAAAGATTTTTATATAAAGGTTTTTATATAAAGATTTGATTTATTATGCAAACGTTTTTGAAGCCATTTAAAAAACTCGCTGGTCGTGTTTTATTAGGTCTAAAGCTTTAAACCTAATAAAACACTCCTGCTCGTTTTTTAAATAGTACTTAAGCCACTCGCGCTACGCGCTCGTGCTTTAAACCTGATAAAACACTCTTGCTCGTTTATTAAACAGTGCGTAAAGTCCTAAGGACATAAATTTGTTCCACAGTAAATTATTGATGATAATGATGATGATGATTGTGATCATTGTGGATTCGTAATAAACATAATAATTTTGGGTTATCCCACACCTTGTTTCGTTTACAAAATACATAATATGAATAAATAGTATAATAATAATAATAAATAAATAATACATATTAATTTTGATAATAAATAAATAATATATATTAATATATATTAATTATTTTAATATATATTAATATATATTAATAATAATAAATAAATAATATACATTAATTTTGGGTTATCCCACACCTTGTTTCGTTTACAAAATACATAATATGAATAAATAATATATAATAATAATAAACATAATAATAATAATAATAATAATAATAATAATAAAAATAAATGGATGATGGTAATGGTGATGCCATGAATAATATGTATAATGAGTGTTTAATTAAAATTCATTTCATAACTGTATAGGTCGTTCAGACTAAAAAACAAACGTCCTTTAAAGAAACTTTTGATGCTCAATAAAGGAGGATGTGGTAGATTATCGCCAGGAATTGGAGATATTTCTTATGTTAAAGATCTTCAGACTGAAAAAATTGTCACGACAAAATTTCGCTGTTCACATTTCAGCTCTTATCATTCCAAGTCAGACGGTTTTGGTTGGGTAAGTTTTTTCAGGCGACCAAATGTTTCATATCAATAAAAAACCTAGTCTGCTCGCAGACTGCATCCCGCTCCCGCGCGGGATTACAGTCTGCTGTCATTCGACGCTAATGCCGTACAGCTACCGACGAAATATGATCGGCAGTTTTTCATTGGTTCGTTTCAAAATTATACTTGCATAAATTTGCTTAGCTAATTTCGAGACAAGTATACCGGTTTTACCGATTACATAAAGTTTCTGGGTGCTGTTAGGAAAGACATTACCACACAAAAGAGCATTTAGTCTTTTGGGATGAATAAATTTGGTAGAATTTACAAAACTGGCATATTTTTTGCGAGTTTATATTTCGATTTCGTTGTATTGTTTTGCTTGACCTTGTCTATTGTCTATTGACCTTGTTTACATAATATAAGTTTTATTTAAAGTAACGCACCTGATTGGATAATAAAATTAGAAAGCCATTAAAGTGCTGAAGTGCACAATATTATATCTATTTATACGTCTACGTCACGGTACAGCATTAGTGACAAATGGTCGCAGACTGTAATCCTTCCACCACGGGGGGGAAGAGACAGTCTGTGCGCAGACTATAAAAAACCTCTCCTAAACAATATTCTAAGTTCGAGTTTAGAAACTCTGAATTACAGCCTGTCAGAATTACAAAAGTTAAATTTGTTATATAGGACATGTTGAACAATTGTCTGAACCGTCCATGTCACTTGGCTTTGCCTTCCACAAAAAATACCCAGTTCAAATTGATTTTTCAGGAGCTTTTAGGTAAATATCACAAATATTAATGTCATGGTTTTCAACGTAGGCACATATCACGGTAAAACAATGATCTAATGCTGGGCATTGAATCATGTTTTTACAGCTATAGTGCGTCTGGAAATATCACTTCAGGAATCACTCATGAGTCAACCTCATTTGTTGGCTGTGAAAATCATAAAGTAAGATTCTCTTGGTTTTAATTTTATTTTAGCAATAATAATTCTGTGGTAACCTTAAAAGCTAAACGTCATTAATAATGCATGAATAAATTTGCCAAACATGCTACTTTTTAATTTGCTTACTACGATACTGAGACTTACATACGATACTGCATGGAAGTATATTGATCGAGTCCTAGCACTGATCAAAATTAATTCAGGACTAGAATCAACTGTGTCGAAATTAATAATTTAGCTAGTTCATTTTAAATAATGATCTATGAGAATGAGATTTCATTTTAAAATTTAAACCCTCAAACCCGGATTGAATGGGATGTTCTCCCAGTTAGCTGGAACGAGTTTAACTATTCTGCGGGTTGCGGGCTGCGGGCCGAAACTGCGGGCTGCGGGCCAAAAATTGCGGGCTGCGGGCCAAAAATTGCGGGCTGGGGGCCAAAAATTGCGGGCTGCGGGCCAAAAATTGCGGGCTGCGGGCCGAAAAATGCGGGCTGCGGACCAAAAATTGCGGGCTGCGGGCCGAAAAATGCGGGCTGCGGGCCAAAAATTGCGGGCTGCGGACCAAAAATTGCGGGCTGCGGGCCGAAAAATGCGGGCTGCAAGTCGAAAAATGCGGGCTGCGGGCCGAAAAATGCGGGCTGCGGGCAGAAAAATGCTAACACGATTGCAAGCCGCGGGTCTAGTTGCGGGCCTGACGAATTTTAAAAAAAAAATTGTCAAAATGTAAAGAAAATAACAATATTATTCAAAATTTTCTGTCTTTGAAGTATATTCTATGTCTAATGTTATTCGTAATCATATGCATACGAATTTTTCCTTAAATGCATTCTTTTTGTAATATCATGGAATCTCAGTTTATGAGTCGTACCAGACAATAAAACCTGTTTCGACCGGGATAACTGTACACCAATCCTAATAGTAGCACTATTTTCTATCCAGCAAAGTGACCTGACGTCATTTTCGGAAGAGAGAAGAGGTGTTAAACCTGTTTTCCACTTCGACCGTATCGCAGCACTTTCTTTTGTGTTGAAATCATTAGTTCCACTCTAGCGCTCAGGAAACAAAGAAATACGCTACGTTTCGGTACACTGCAAAAAACGCCGAGCCCGCTGCTCAACAGGATTGAACAATGTTTTGCTGCCCACATTGTTCACACTTGTCAACAATATTGAACACTATTGTTGAGCCTGAATATTGTTCAATATTGTTGACAGCTATGAACAATGTGGGCAGCAAAACATTGTTCAATCCTGTTTTCATCAGTATTGCAAAAACCATTCAACCTGAGCGTTTTTACGCGTGTACGATACGGTTGAAGTGGAAAGCGGCCTTTAAATGGCTATGTAACTAACACAAACCCTACACCTAGTCCCTACTCTAACCCCTAACCCCAACCCTAACTCTAACCCTAATCGAATTAATAAAAAATGCAAAAAAGCGACTTTAGAAAATCGATAGGGCGGTTTGCTGGATGGAAAAAAGTGCTAACCGCCAAAATCATTGGAAAATCATAGGAAAAACCAAGAAATTGGGCTTCTGTATGACCCTTTCTGTGCCCTGGTTATAATGCGCTACCGCTTATAACTTTTGGTACAACTGGTCTGAAACATATATTTATTGAAAAATAGCTATTATGTCAAAATAAGAAAACTTAAGATTCTCACGCGAATAGGCAATGTTTTTATGAGCGACTGTTCATCGTTAGTTGCAAACGACGGTAATATAAACAAGGTCAAGGTTTATCGAAAGCGATTGACTGTTAGATTTCCTTTTATACTATTTTATAACTAAATAATGTTATTTCCTACAAATTTAGCTTTATTGTAGCTTTATCGAAAGTATAAAAAAAACATGGAAACGGCGAATTACTATAGATTGAAAATAATTATTAAACTATGATTGAAATTATCGACGTAGAATACTATTTCGTTGTATTAAATTTCAATAGTATAATGAGAATTTTGTTTGATATTTTAATATATTTCATGTTATTTACAAAATGTACTGTAGTTTTGAAGTTTTGCCCCCAATATAGTATATATTGATAGCGTAGCCAGGCTTCACGATATAAATATTAAAAACGACTGCATGATAAATAATCATTCATTTTATGATTAATATTTTATTGCGACCACAACTGCGCCAGAATCACAACAAATAACAGAATATAAGGAAAATTAAAACCTGCAAAGCTTTATCTACCTTGATCTATTTTTAAAGGCGCTCAATTATGTAAATTTCCCGCGAACACTCAAACATTTTTCTTTGCCTTTCATCGAGCATGAGTGATGAAATGCTCGTCGGAAAAACTCGGTATTTGTCGTATTTTACGAATTTGCCACGTGACCGGTACGCTCACCAATGAAAGTTGCATGCCATATATGGCATGCAACAAAAAATAGTTAGGCCAGCAATTTGGCCCGCGGCCCGCAATTGTTTTAACCCGCAGCCCGCAAAAACTGACCCGCAGCCCGCAAAAACTGACCCGCAGCCCGCAAAAACTGACCCGCAGCCCGCGGCCCGCAAAATAGCTAGACCCTCATTCACCAAAGCAATAAATTAAGATTTGGCGTTTGAAGTTGACCTTTGGCGTATAAATTTCATGCTGGAACTGCTACGAGGGTTTGTAGTCGTTAAAGCATGAAATTTATACGCCAAACGTCAACTTCAAACGCCAAATCTTAATTTATTGCTTTGGTGAATGGCATGACTAGTGGTTAATTTGCTTTCTTAAATCATTGCTAAAGAGCACAAGTTTAATAAGTTTAACATATTTCAAAACTGGTGTAAAAGGAATAATAATAGAGTTGTAAAATCAAAAACCGCGCTAGCGGTTTGACGTGTGCCGTAAACGTCAATCTTAAGGTCTCTAATGTGCAGATTATCACTGTTTTAGTGCGAATCTGAAAATGAATGTGAAACTACGGGAAATTTCAATATGGAACAATAAAATCCGGGGGGCAGTCATTTTATAATTCTACATATAAAACGATTTCAAGTACTTTTTCCGCGAAAAAAATACGGCTGAACATTACAGTTTTTTTTATATGTTGGCGTGGATCCACTATTAAGTAAAAAATGCATTATATCAGAACTGAGCGGACTTGCAGCAGTGTTCCAATGCCCACCCGGATTTTTGAGTCCAGCACGAGTTCCAACGAGTTGTCTTTTGCGATTTTTTCTGCTGTAACCAGAAGTTGTTTGAAGCTAACGAGTGCGTTATATCATTCTATGATAGTTGTAGAAGAATGGATTTGCTGGAAAATATTTCAGTGTAAACGTGTGATGCGTGAGAAGGATTTATTCTCTCAGCTGCGTTGTTGTCATTTGCTTCGGGTTACAAAAGCCGGTTCGCGTCAGCTACGTTTTGCGATTTTTCCTGACAAAACGACAAACGTTTTCAGGATCTTGTTTACTTTATACCATTCAGTATAATGTAGTAGTGAATGAATTTCAGAGATTAGGGAGCTACAACGGGTATTTTGCTTTAGACAGAGAAATATAATATTTGAAAAAATAGAGGCAGATGCGCGGCCAGGATGAAACATAATAATAAAATAGACGTTCTCTGACCAAAAATATATATTTATTACAAGCTTTCGGCTACCAATCTGTAGCCTTCAACGGGTATGAGTGTATGAAATATGAAACTATAGTCTATTATTGTATATACAGAAATATTTGCATAATTGCGCATGAAATATGAGTGTGTATTGTCAACTATGACTGCTTTTTTATAAGAACAGTATATTGTCCGGGAAGTGAACATGAATTGTTGTCAGCATCAGTTGTTAAGGCTGTATGCCATGACTCTAGAGTTTTTCGGGTCCTAAAATTTCCCTTATCGATAACTTCCGCGTTTTCAAAGTCAATCCTGTGGTCATAAGTCCATGCATGTTTTGCTACATTAGATCCAGTCTTGTGATTCTTTACATTTCTTACGTGTTCCGATTTTCTTGTTTTCAGCGACCTTCCGGTTTCTCCTATATAGCTGCATGGACAACTTTGACACGGTATACGATAAACCACGTTTGTCAGGAAACCCTCCAGCAAGAATTTCCATCCGCAAAACACCGACCTTCATCCGAAAATCAGACAAACGTGGTTTATCGTATACCGTGTCAAAGTTGTCCATGGAGTTATATAGGAGAAACCGGAAGGTCACTGAAGACAAGAAAATCGGAACACGTAAGAAATGTAAAGAATCACAAGACTGGATCTAATGTAGCAAAACATGCATGGACTTATGACCACAGGATTGACTTTGAAAACGCGGAAGTTATCGATAAGGGAAATTTTAGGACCCGAAAAGCTCTAGAGTCATGGCATACAGCCTTAACAACTGATGCTGACAACAATTCATGTTCACTTCCCGGACAATATACTGTTCTTATAAAAAAGCAGTCATAGTTGACAATACACACTCATATTTCATGCGCAATTATGCAAATATTTCTGTATATACAATAATAGACTATAGTTTCATATTTCATACACTCATACCCGTTGAAGGCTACAGATTGGTAGCCGAAAGCTTGTAATAAATATATATTTTTGGTCAGAGAACGTCTATTTTATTATTAAATATAATATTGCCGATCACTTGCAACAATATGGCGCTGCATGAATTCTTGATCGTCTATCTTTTGCGATTTTTCCTGACTTCACATTTTGCGCTAAAGCCTTCAAAATACATCTGTTCAATGCGTAATGTTCTGAAGAAGAATGAAATTCGTTAACAAGTTTATTGCGTAGAAAGAAACTGAGTAATTCGACATTTTATACGCCAGACACCTGATCTATTTTCATATTTGAATCTGAATGTGAATCTGAAACTGCGAATCTGAAACTATAAAGCCGACCGTCGGTGCACGCTATGAAGACAAAAATACCACCACTGACCATTCGATTCAGCGAGTCAAAATCTTCTAGTTCCTAACGATAGTTTTAGTCGATGTCAACATTATCGCAATTTATGAGCTTTTATAGTCTAGAGTGAGCTTTTAT